AGCTGATTACACGCCCAGCCCCTCCCCTGTGAATATTTCCTGCATCCCCCATTCACCCTATAGCCCGAATAAAGCCAGAGCCCTAAACCCTTAGTTCTCAGGCTCAGATTAGAGGGTGAGAGTCTATATGCCAGGCACAGGTCTGTGATAGGACCCTGCAAAGTGCTCAGCAGATGGCCAGAGTCACACACACACCAGCAAAGAAAGCAAAGTGGCCATACATTATATTTATAAAGATGCTAAAACCAGAGAAGCTGTCCAGAGGGCCAGGGTAGAAGGATTGGGGGTTGGTTACTCTGACAAGTCCTCCATGAAAAGTGAGGAGGAAGGAACAGGCCAGCTGGGGTCCTGCCAGACTGCAGCTCCCAGGATGCAGTTAGGCAAGGTGTGAATTAGTAAATTAGGAAGAGGGTTTCTCAGGCCCACACAGGGAAGCAGAACATGTCACTCACATGATGCTTTATCTGTGCTACCTCAGCAGATGGATTTTAGCCACTGAACACTTTCCAAGTCACAAACCATCAAAACCCATCCGCGGAGATCCTGTCCATGCTCAGCTCCTTGGCAGAGGTAATGTTCTAGATGGAAGTAGAAATTGAAAAGATGAGGGTGTTCAGGACAGGGTAAGTGGGAGGGAGACGCTGGGCATGGGAATGTCCGTCAGCCTCCCTCACAACCTTGTCCAAAACCTGCCTTAGGACAGGCACCATGGCCACATCCTTTCCAGCCTGGGCAGCCTGCCAAGAAAAGATGCTACGGAGGCAGTGAGCAAAGGCTCCCGGAGCTTAGCTCAGGCAAGCCTCCTGGACCTTCCCAGGTACGCTTCCAGAAAGCAAAGAGCCAACTTCCTCCCCCACTCAAACACACTGTGGGGGAGGAGCTGGAGAAAGTTTTCCTTCTAAGTAAGCACTGACCGAAGGGGCCCACAGCTGGGGTTTCATGGCTGTTTTCAGCAAGAACTTGGCTATGGTAGCAGGTCCCACCATATGCATATGCCATGACTTCCAGACTCCTGCCCTGGGTCTGAGGGTCTTGGCCTGGGGTTTTCCTCCAGCCATCGTGAGGGTACCTGCCAATAGCTGTATCATATCAGAAGCCCTTTGAGTTCAAGTGTCCCCAGATCAGTTCCTTTCAGTGGCCAGGCACCCATTGGCCAAATCTCCTCACTTCTTGTATTCAGGTAGGACTCAAGAGAGGCATTTACTATCTTGTGTACCAGAGCCACCCCTGCCCCAGGCAGACCACATGGGTGACTTGCTCATCAGTGCAAACTTGGTTTCTTTCCTGTCTCCATTCTCCACCCATTCGCTGCCCTCTGACAGCACATCCAAAAAAAGGTCACCCTCAGATTCCATCTTGGATTGCTGTTGGCACATCTAAAGCATCTGAGGTGTTCAGTGATGGAGACAGGAAGACCTGGTCTCATGGAATCCTGGTGCCACCCTCTACAAGTCAGGTGACCTAAACATCTGAGCCTCAATGTCCCCATCTGTTAAATAGGAGCCATAAACATAGCACCCCCCCTCGAAGTCGTTGCAAGGACTGAATGAGATGATTCCGATCAAATTTTTACAGGACCTGATACTTGGCATACACTCAAAACTGACTAGCTACAATTAATAGCTAGACAGAAAACAGAGCCAAGTGACAAATATCTTAGAGATAATTTAGGAAGGAAATGACAAGCAAAGGGTAATTATCCCCAACAAACAGCCAACTCATAAATTATCAAAAACAAGACAAAACTACCTTAAGGAAGTTTCCAGAAAGGATGCAAACAGGTGATTCTCAAAGAATAAAATGTCCAATAGACACTCAAAGATGTTTATCTGGACAGCAGTCATCACAAATGAAATGCTAAGAAAGTCACACTTCAAACAAAAGAAGATTGTTAGCAAAAGCAGTAGTTAAAAAATGCAACACACTTTAAAATCATATTCCACAACACCCCTGCCCCAGGAGAGAACAAACTCAGGGTCCCACAAGAGCTGCCTTATGTCTCAGCACTTTCCCACTAGATTTTACCTCTTAAAGGTCCTGTCACTTCTTAACACCATCACACTGACAACCAAGATCTGCACTCACACACAGACACAGACACAGACACACACACACACACACACACACACACACACACACACACACAGAAACATGCATAGACACACACAGAGACACAGATACACACAGACACACACAAACACACACACACACAGAAACATGCATAGACACACACAGAGACACAGATACACACAGTTACACACACACACACACACACACACACACACACACACACACACACACGAGGAGGGTAGAGACTCTAGTCCCTGATGACTCTCCCAAACCATAACACCATATGATGTCTGCCAACCAATGAAGATAGGCATAAGTGAAAGGCACCATTCCAGGCCTGGCTGCAGGAAGCCACCTACAGATGACATGCCTGCCCTTTGCCTGGAAGAACCAAGCGCCCCAGCTGGAAAGTGGCAGCACTTCAGGATGGAACTGGAACTCCGGTCACTGCTTGGAGGGGAGAGTCATACTGGATGTGGTTTTGACTTAATGTGCCAGGGATAGAGTTCCATTGTGTCTGCCAAGGAGCTGTGGCTGATTGTTAGCCCAGTTCTCATGACCATAACAGACTCTTAGTCTTCTAAACCTGGCTAAACTTTCCAAGGTGACTGCTCTTGTGGAGCTGAAGTGTGAGCATGCAATGCAAATAGAGAAATGGTACCATGTTGGTCCAAAGGTACAAACTTCAGATGTAACACAAAAGGCTTCTAACGTACATAGTGATGACCATAGATAATGCCATACTGTATTTATAAATCTCTCACACAGTGGATCCACTTTATGTGTTCTTACACATACAAACATGGCATCATGTGTGGTGACAGATGGTTAATTAGCTTGGGCATATAATAATTGTTTCATCATATATACATATATCTAATCATTCTGTTGTCAACCTTTAATGTATTTACTATCTAATTGCAATAAATCAAAGAGCTCAGTGTCTTGCATGAGACAGAGAGCAGAATGACAGTTATGGTCCCAGGGGCTGGGGTGGTGGCGGCAAATGGGGAGTCAGTACTTCATGGTAGAGTTTCAGCTTTGCAGGATGAAAACTGTCTGAGATGGTGAAGATGGCTGGCCAGCAATGGGAACGGGCTTGATGTGCTGAGTGATGATCAAGCTTATCTTCAGTGTGCAGACGCCCGTCCAACGTGGGATCATCTCTGGCACAGGCACTCTACCTGTGGCTGTGCCCCAGCCACCTCCAAAGTGCCTCAGCCTCTCGTGGGAACACAGATCTGCTCTTCATTCCTGGCTTAGGTTGGGATGGATCATAGTGGCCTCTAGGTTGGCAGCCTCTGTCTTCTGTAAAGCATGCTGAGACAAGTTAGGCACAGACAAGTGCCTTCCAAACACCACCCATCATCTTCTGCTCAGGCAGGTTGACAGCAAGGCCTCTTCACACCACCCTGCCGTCTTCCCACCCACACTCACACCTGCTTCCCTGGCAGCTGCCACTGGCTGGGGGTGGCTCACTGTGGGGAGAACCCTTCTCTCCTTGAAAGGGATCTAAGAGGCCCAGGAGAGGCCACGTTATTCAGAGGTAACCCTAGTAGAGTCTCAGTATTGATGGCCTGGGTCAGATATGATACCACCCTGTACCTCCAAGCTAGAAGAGCATGAGACATTGGATACTTCTACCACCTTAAATGGTTGCTTCTTACTCTTAATTCTGATTCATTTCAAACTCAGAAAAATCAGAAAACAGTCACCTCTGTCTGTATCCACCACCTGGATTACATGGATTTAATGCTTCATCGTATTAGTTTCAGTTTCTCATATTTCTGTGTGTGTGTGTGTGTGTGTGTGGTGTACATGTGCTGTAGGTGCACATGCACGTGTTCATGTATGCATGTGTGTGTGTGGAGGCCAGAGGTCAACCTTGGGTATGGTTCCTCAGATACCAACTGGGTATTTTGAGCCAGGGTCTCTCACCTGGCTGGAGCTATTCAAGCAGGCTAGGCTGACTGGTCACTGAGCTCCAGGGACCTCCCTGTCTCTGCCTCCTTGGTGCAGGAGTTACAAGAACATTCTGCTGCCATGTCTGGTTTGTTCACATGGGTGCTGGGGGTGGCACTCAGCTCCTCCTGCTTACCAGGCAAGCATTTCATGAGCTGAGCCGTTCCTCCATGTTACAGAAACACAGTTGAAAGTGGTGTTTAACCTCATGCACCTTCTTCCCAGGCGACTCCCCAGACTCAATTTCACATGCAACCAGTCCCAGCCTGTGAAATCATGAGCAGCTTGTTCTGCGGCCTTGAGCGCCTAGACTTTACTCTAAACCTCTGGTCGATGTTCGTCTTTTCATCCAATATAACGCACCTGCCTCGACCATGTTGGATACGCCGCACCTGCCTCGACCATGTTGACCTGGACAGCAGCTTTACTCATTTTCAGGACTGTTTTTCACACAATTATCACAACTTGTTGTTATCTGAGGATACCAAAACGGGGGATCTCTGAGGGCAGGAGGCTGCCTGGCTCCACCTTTTCCCTTTCTTTTGTTTTCTTTGTTACTTCTACCGTGTGCAATCAGCCTCCCCTTTCACATGTTTTACACACACACACACACACACACACACACACACACACACACACACCACACACGCACACGCAAATTTTTTCCCCCATGGATCCCAGAGGTAGAAACCCTGGATCGTACTATGTGACCATTTCTACATTGTGTGACTATTTCCACACTGACTAGCAGGTGTTATTAGACTTGGTCAATTTTGCCAGATGGAAGGATGTGAAGTATTGTTGCTGTAGACATGTTGTAGTACTCACAAGGCTCAGCATCTTACCAGCAAGGCAGACCAATAAAATGCAGAGAGTCTGGGGCCTATGTCAGGGAAGGCTGGATTGCCAGGGCCTCCATAAACTACAAATGTAACTGTTGCTCCCCCACTCCCCCGACACCCCTTCCCCGACACCCCGGCCCTGCATTGGGACCTTCTTTAAACTGTTCAAATCCCTTATCCATGTTTCTTTCGGGTTGAGAGATAGCCTTAGTCATTCTGGACATGATTTGCAAGTTCCCAATATTTCTTTGCATAGGCCGTGCATCTTGTTATCTGGTATTTGATGTCTCTGTCAAATAGAGAGGCTTCTTGATTGATTGTACTGCAGTGTAATGCAAGAGTCAAGATATAAAGATATCCTGTGTTACCTCCTGCAAAAGTTTTCTTTTTCCTTTTTCCATTTTCAGTGTATGGAGTTCACATGCTTGTGTGTGTGTGTGTGTGTGTGTGTGTGTGTGTGTGTGTGTGTGTGTGTGTGTGCAGGTTTTGCATGTGTGTGGGTGCAAATGTGTGAATGTGGAAGCCCAAGGTGGATGTCAGGAATCATCTCCCATTGCTCTTCCAACTTACTTATTGAGGCAGGGTCTCTCAGTCAAACCCAGAGCTCATCCATGTGACTAGTCTTGCTAGCCAGCTTTCTCTGAGGATCCCTGTCCCTGTTTCCACCTTCTGTGGCTGGAATTACAGACAGATCATCATATCATCCAACAGTCACACGGGTTTCTGTGGATGTGACCAGTCTCACACTTGTGTGGCGAGTGTTTTAAACTTCAAGCCAGCTCCCAAGCCCCTCAAAGGTTTTAAATCTGCCTGGAGTACATAACCAAATGTGATAGTAGGTAGCAACTTGTATTTGTGATTTCCCATCTGGATAGACACTTCTTCCCAACAGGACACAGTATACTTACTCTCCATCCCCATCCCCCACTACAATATCTGTCTATCCAACCCACACTTGTGCATATCTGTTTCTAGGGTCTCATCTTGGCCCCCTACTCGGCAATGTTTAAACGTTGTTGCAAGTTTAGTAAATACTCGTATCTTGTATGAAGATGTCTCCACTTTCTCCCCGTATCACCTCTGCCTTTCCAAGCTGACTGCTCTTCAGTATGATTTTTTCCATATGCTGATACTAGAGATTTACTCAGAGATATAAATTGTCAGCACAGCGGCAAGGCTTGGGCTCCAATCTTGCCTATCCCCTCTCTGGTTCTCTGACGTTGAACTAGTTCCTCCACTTGCTTTTGTCCTGATTTTCAGTTCTTAAAATGGGGACAAAAAATAAAATCTACCTCACAGGGTCACTAGGAGGACTGAGGGAGTTAACACACGTAACGTGACTTATCTATGGCTAGGTAATTTGTGAACACAGAGCTAACATGACTGAGGGCTTATGCTCTGATGTCAGCTGTCCAGGTAACAACACTCTTACCTTTCACTCATTGAGACAACAAACCTCCTCATGATGAAATGTGGCATGGGAGAGACCAGAAAGCAAAGGCATAGCTTATCCTGTATCCAGTAGCTTGGAAGCAAAACCAGATCACTGCTATCTAGCAAAGAGATCAACCAGGCTGGCAGCCATCAGGCCACCTGGCTCTCCTGAGCACAGCCTCTGTCTCCCCAGCCCACCCCCCCCCCCCCAGGGAGAAGCAGCACACAGACTCTCACAGCAGTCAACATGTTTAGCAAGCTTTGGGAGCTGGGGAGATGGTTCAGCAGGTTAAGAGTACCTACTGTCAGGTCTGCCATAGTGACCTGACTTCAGTTCCTGGGACCCACACTGTAGAAGAAGAGGACCACCTCCCACAAGCTGTCCCACACATGTTCTCTGGTACACCCTCATCCACAACATTCCCCCACATACATAAATGTAATTTTAAAATTTTAATGTTTAGTATTTTTCCATAACCCTCTTATTTCTATCCATGTTTCTGTCTTGAATCTGCTTTGTTTAATACTAATATCACTGCCCTATTATTTTATTGTTTAGTATTTGCATGCACTAAGCTTTTAATTTTTCAAAGTGACTTTACATTTTAAATTCACCTCATGTAAATAGCACACAGTTTGATATTTGAAATCTAGTTTGACCATATTTACTTTTTAATTAATTAGTCTATTGGTTTTGATTGAATTTACCCACATAGTCGGGTTCAAATCTACCACCTTATTTGTGTTTTCTGCTTAGTCTATCCATTATATGTTTTGTTTATATTATTTTTATTTTTATTTTTTGCTGTTGATGGCAGGGAAAGGTGTATCCTTCCATTCTTCCCAATTTCTTTCTAGTTTATGTGTATGTGTGTGTGCATGCCTGCGTGTATGTATGCCATATGTGTGTCTGGTGCCACGGAGACCAGAAAAGGGCATCAGATTCTTGGGAGCTGGAGTAACAGAGCATTGTGAGCTGCCACGTGGGTGCTGGGAACTGAACCAGGTCCTCTGAAAGAGCTGCAGGTGCTCTTAACTGTGACTCATCTCTAGTCATACCTCCCTTTTTTCTTCCCCATAGTTAGCACTGGACTCATATGTACTTAGGGTATTCTTGAAATTGTTACCCTGGAAGCTGTGTTATGAATCCAAAACTTGCCAGAGCCTAGTGCAACTCAATACCTAATTCTACGCTAGGCCACACAAGGACCCCAAGCCATTTAAACTCCATTTTGTCAATTCCCCAGTTACAGGGCGTTTGCTTGCTCGTGCTACAATTCTAAGAGTTCAGAGGTGGTTTACGATGATTTTACATAACCGGTGTTCAGTCGGATTTACATTTTCTTCACCTCCTTTTCTTTGATTGTTTTTTGTTTTTCAAGACAAGGGTCTCCTGTAGCTCAAGCTGACCTCAAACTCACTAGGTAGCGGAGGATGACCTTGAACTCCTGACCTTTCTGCCTCCTCCTCTAGGGTGCCACCATGCCCAGCTCACCATTCCTTTTGCTTTTTCTGATCTTCCACCTAGGATAATGTTCCTTCAGACTAAGGTTCCCTTAGAATATCTTTGAGTATAAAGAGATTGTCTGAAAACTTCTGTTTGATTCTTTCTATTCAGGCTTTTTATTATGACAAATGTCCACATGAACAGAAGAAAATAAACTAAAAGAACACCCACCAGTTCCAGCAATTACCTGAGTCCCGGCCAGCGCTGTTCTCTGCATCCGGTGTCCCGGGCCCCTCACGACGAACTGCTCAGCAAACGCCAAGCTGTCATTCCATTTCCCCTGCCAATATCTTAGTTTTATCTCTTTAAAGCCGAGGACTCTGTCTCTAAACAAGACCGCAGCGTCTACCAGAAAAAAGAAAAGACAGCAATGACTCAGTGTATCATGAGTCATGAGTCTCACCAGCGTCCACAGTTCCCCAACTGCCATCGCTTCCTTACGACTTCCTTGATCGAATTGGAATGCAAACACGTTCTCTATATTGTTGCTGCCTCATCTATTGGTTAAGTTTCCATAGATTTTCTTTTTCATTTTCTCCCTTTGCATTTGTTGCTGTCATTATTGAACAACAGCCAGGGTTTTGCTGTCTGTATCCCCCACCGTGGTCTCTGTGTTTTCTATAAGCCTGTTGATGGATTCAGAGACCTGATCAAATTCAGGTCGGATTCTTTGGGAAGACGATTGCTAAGGTGATGTGTTTTCCACCAGGAAGCACATTCAGCCTGCTTCCTGTTCTCTGGGGGATACACACACAGACTGAAGGCCACTGCCAAGACCTATGCGTTCATTAGAGGTTGGGAATGGTCATGTTCTGATTCTGACATAGAACTGGAAAAGTTCTATGAAGAGCTGGGCATTAACAGCACAGTGTTGTGATCCCAACCCTCAAGAGGCTGACACAGGTGGATCACGAGTTCAAGCTCAGCCTAGTCTACACAGCGAGACTTTGTCTCAATAAAAAACAAAGACAAAAAAATTTCTATGAAGGGAAACTTTTCCTCACCAGATCGTTTGCTGATGCTGAAGCATGGCTTACATAGAGACAGGAGAACTGATCTTTTCCCTCTATTTTGCATTTTCAAGTGCAGTTTGTTCCTTGGTGCTTTCCAGAGGTGGCTTCCTAGTGTCTTTATGACTTGTAGAATGGAGCATATCTGGTGTGTTTCAGGCCACAGTGTCCTCACTGGTGCTCTAACTGCCCCACCAGTGACCAGAGAGGCTTGCGCAAGCTGCCCTTGAGTCCTTCTGACTGACTCTCATAGTTCCTCATAGCTTTCTGGAGAGAGACATCATCCCAGGCTCACCCACACACTCTACAAATTCCCATGGTAACTGGTAGTGGTAAATAGTATTTGAAGACCACAATCTGGGAACCAGGGTTGTTTCTTATCACTGAGTTAGTCATTGTCCCCAGATTTTTCAGTGCTCAGAGCTAGGAAATGTATTCTTATTTCTACAAATATACTCATCACGAGAAGACAAGCCCTACTCTTCCACACTGTTACTTCAGATTCAAATTTACTCAGTCCTGTCAGTCACTCTCCCACACCAAAGAATATGGTTCTCGATGTTTCTGATGTGTTCGTGCATGGACTTCATCTTACACAGAGAATGTGAAGCACGCAGGGCACAGGCTGTAATATGGCATCACTTCCCTGAAGAGCAGGTGCCTGAGAACCTCCTTGAGTACCTAGCTCTCCCTGCTTCATCTGAGTTCACACCCTGATCCACACCTGAACACCCAATGCAGACAGTTCTCTCAGGTTTCAGCACTGACAACATGATTTCTAGAAACAGCCTAGGGTGTGATCCTGGTTTTGATGCTGTTGCTTTGGGTACCCGTTATTCCTCTGCAAGCCTCTTAAGGTGTGAAAAAACACTGTGCGGTGTGCATGTGAAACAGTTTCTCACTGTTTGGTATGAAATAATTCCTCACTGTGCTGATATGGCACCAACTTGCTATATGATTGGATCAATTTTTTTCACTTTTAATTCTGAGGATTCATTCTTAATTTTAATTTGGCTTTGGGGGCCAGAGAGATGCCTCAGCACTTAAGAGCATGTACTGCTCTTGTCGGGGACCCAGGTTTGGTTCCTACTACCCACAGAGTGGCTCACAACCATCTATAATTCAGTTTCAGGGGATCCAATGTTCTCTTCAGAATCTAGCCATTGCATGCATGTGGTGCACATACATACATAGATACATACACTTAGGCACACACACATATACATTAAATAAAGTAAATGTCTAAATGTGTTCAGTTTTATAATTATATAAGAGATTACAGACTTCCAAAGCCAGATGCACAAAACAAACCTATTCAAATATTCTGACCTCTATACACTACTCTTCCTTTTTGCTATTCTCATATCTAACCTTTATTTTTTTGCAAAAAAAATTATGGTTTGTACTTTTTTGTATTGTAAATAAACATATCATGTTCATGATCTCAGATGAAAGGTAACATACCGTATGTGCCTTTTAAAGTTAATATACCTCAGAATTCCTTCTAGACAGCAGTGCAGAGGCATTCTTCAGTCCTTACTGCTTTATAATCCTCCATGATGCAACATGCTGCGGCCCCTTTCCCTGTTGATGGATTTTGTGTTCTTTCCAGCATTTTCTATTACATATAAGTCCATTAAAAAAAAACTTAGTCTATTTGTCTTCTTTCAAAATTTTGCTTGGAGGATTTTGCCTTGATGATTCCAAATAACCTTTTCACAGGAGAGACAATTCTGGGCTGACATCTGTGTTTTGCTGCACATCTTAAAGGAGTAATTCAGAGATTCCCCAGCTCTGGTATGGCTGGGGGTCAACCATAGTCTGTCATGCCTTTGAGGGTCACTTGTCTTTCCTCCTTGTCTAATTCCAGTGATTTTTTTCTTTTTCAGTGGTTTTTGTATTATGAAATGCCCAGGGATATATTTGGTTTTTATTTGTTTAGGATTATTCAGGCTTTGGAAGTCTGTAGACTGCTATCTTTCGATTCCAGAAACATTTCAGCCATTAACTCTTCAGCTGTCACCTCTGACTCTCTCTTCCCCATCCTTGAAGCACTCTGCTCCTCGCATAGCTCTTGCCGTTGCTTATACAAGACTTCTTCATAGTCCATTGATGAGTTCTAGATGTTCCCTTTTGACATATTCATACACTAACTATGCAAAGATGCTAATGTTGGAAGATGAAGATTACACATTAGAGGTTGGCTATTATAATCTGCCCCTATTTCTCATTATCTACATGGCTCCTACATGTATGATGCACTTACTCCATCCTAGTACTCCTAAAGTCTTGTCTTACTACAACACCAGCCTGAAGTCCAGAATCTCATCACCTAAGTCAGAGCCAGTGGCAGACGATGCTCTATGGTACCCAAGTATGGCTGCTTGAATACATTCCTTCTCCATCTTAGACCTAAGAACTGCTGAGACAAATTCTCCTGTCCCCTACAGACAACAAATAACTGTGAGAAAATCATAGAAAATCACTGGAGAAACTACTGTTCAAAAGAGGCGAATGGGAGACAGAAATCACCAAATGGCGATGATCCGGCCTAGACTGCAAAGGCAGGCTCCTTAAGACCCAGTCTTACTCCTCTCAAGAAACAATTTCCCACAGCAGGGCTGCACCCTCTAGGCACCCTGAGTCACCATTCCATTTCTGTGACAGGCCACACATGGGTATCAATCGGTATTTTTCTTAACCAGCTTCCTGTACACATTTGAGGGCTGGAATCATTCTTTTTCATTTCTACCCTTGTCTATCCTGCTAAGACTGAGCACTGCTCTTTCAGCTGAAGTCCTTTGAAGTTTCCTGGATGTCTTGTGAGTCTTGGAATTTTCTTCACCACATAGAAGTCTCATACAGATAAACCTCCATCTTGGGCTTCTGGTGAGAGACACCATGAGCTTCTAAGAAGCTTGACCATTTATAAAATATCTGTTCATTTAGTTTTTCTAGACAGGTTCTCATGCTGTAGATCAAGCTGGCCTTGAACTCATGACATCACCCAGGCTGGCCTCTAGTTCATGGTCTTCACACCTCCGTGTCTGAAATGCTAGAATTACAAGCAAGTACAGCCACACTTAGCCTTCTAGACGCCCTGTCGTTTGATGGAGTAGATTAGTGAGTCATACTCTTAAGACTTGAGAGGGTACTCTGTGGATGAAGACTATTGGCAAGACTCCTATTATACTTGCCTGAAGTCTTAATAAGTCATCGGACCATGGTACCCTAAACTGTTTCCCCCGATGGCGTAAGGCAGGGGTGGGACTCGGCACCCTGGGTCTCATCTTCCTTAGATGCCTGTCTTATTTAAGTGTTGCTTGCATCTGGAGACACTTAGAATTTTCAAATCTATCAAATTCCCACTTCTTCATGTTTAACAGCTAAAAATGCCTGCCAATGCATTACACGGATTCCCAATTTCTATGCAACCTCCCTCTTCTCCTCATCTCTCTCTTCCTCCATTCTCCCCACCTTCTCCCCCTTCCTCCTTCCCTCTCTCCCCATCCTTCCATTTCTTCCCTCCTCTCTCTTTCCCTTCCTGTCCCCCGCTGCCCTTCGACAGCCTCCACTTGGATCCCATTCTTCCTCAAGAAACTTCTCTGGGACAGTCATCTTCCCACAGCTGTCCTCAGAGTCTTTGCAGCATCTTCTGACTGTGTAATTCCAAAATCACCCCTACATTTGTAGGTGATTCTACCACTGAGTACAAAAAATCTTGGCTTATAACCTATTGCATCATGACAAATGTGATGGTTTGAAGCAACAAACAGTTATCACCCCCAGTCTCTTGGCGCAGGGGTTGGGAGCTGCGTAGTGGGAGCCCTGGCTCGGAGCCCCACCTAAGGCTGCAGTCAGGACACTAGCAACAGCCAGCTGGGTCTAGCCTCAGCTGTGGGAGCTGCCTGTGGTCCATCTGTGTAACATTGGGCCACAAACTTTTGCGGCCATCACATGAGCCTTTCTGCAGAGCTGCTCGGGATACATACAGATGGCATACAGATGACACAGATCAGAGTTTGAGCCAAAGAGCTGAGGTAGGGATCCTTGGGGGCGTCTTGGATGGTAGCACTGGCATTGACTTGTACCCTCCCCCAAATAGGTGTATGTTCACCTGTAACTGATTATGAATTTTGGAGAAATGGAGGTCTTTCAAAATGTGATTAGGGTACAGAGCAAAGATTAGATTGTGCTAATTATTTGGGTAGATCCTAAACCAATGACAATGGTCTCTTTTTAATATTGTGGGGGGGGGTGTCAGAGGACAATTTGTAAGAATTGGTTCTCTCCTCTTACCATGTGGGCCCAAAAATCAAACTCCGGATGTTAGGC